ATGGGGTCGGCGGTGAGGTGACACCCGCACACTTCGTAGTATACTAGCTTCTGAATACTTCACGTCGACTTCCTTTCGATTTCTATCTACTCTACCAAACTTCTTTTTATAATAATGATCTCTTGGTGAGTTAGATGAGCAATAATGTACTTCCTTTCCATTTTCTAATATTATCCTTTTATTTTCCCGGTCTATAATCAATTTCTCCTCTTCTATAAAGTCCTTTCCTATTATACCCTCACAGGGTATGGGTATTTCTGGATCGACTATTCTCGCTATTCTTTTAAATTTTAATCCTCTTAATTTAAATGTCGGCAGTGCTATGCCTCTTAAGAGAACAGTTTTTCCCGGACTATTTTCCATTTCTAGCGGCTCAGTATAATGTACTGGAGCTTTATTTTCTAGGATTCGTGCAATTCGTGTTGATAAGAGCATATTTTTAGCCTCTTCATCGATTAGGACCTTTATAGGTATATTATTAACGTACACAAGTACGATAGGTTTATTTTCTGCCCTTGCCGCATTTATTTTTCCTCTCCAAAATGTGTTCCTTTTATAATTTCTATCAGTTCCCTGGGAACAGGATTGTATTTTGCTTTCCCTAGGATAATTTCTCGGATATAGTCTCCTAGTTTCTTCTATATTATTTATTGCACCCGTCCAAGAATTCCTATCTCTATTATTTTTATTAGGCTCGTCCCTATTCATATTATCTAAATCATAACGAGTGTTAATTCTATACGTCTCCCGCCGGAAGTTAGGGTTTAGTTGCCGATTTCCGTTAAAATTTCTCTCTTTTGGTCGGGAGTATTGTGCGCTTCGTCGTTCTCCTTGTAAACCTTTTAATTGCTCTAACAATCTATCTAATTTGTTCTGCATTTCTTGCATTTCGTCTATATTTAATTTTTCCTCTCTAGATTGTTCTTCAGAGCCTTTAATTACTCTTAAAATTCCTTTAGAAGGAGAGGTAAGGAGTTCTATGTTTTCTTCACTAATCGCCACCCTCAGGGCTTCGTCAAAGGTTTTGGGTTCTCTGGACATAATCCTTTTTTTTATCCTTATGTCGACCCCATTCATAAATTGGACTCTCAACCTCTCGTCCAATTCTTTTTCTTTGACTCGTTTTATGACTTCTATTTCGGCCTCGTTCGCGCCCTCATGCTCAATCTCAACCTTTTTGGCTAAAGCCTGGAGTCGTACGGCGAACGTCTGTACGTCCTCATCTCTGGCCTGGACGCACGCGTAGAATTTCTGGATTCGATAGGTGTATGGGACCTTCTCAAAACGCTCTATCATTATTTTCTTAAATTCCTCATAATCCTCCACGTCCTTTACTCGCCGATCCTTACGCACGAATTCCCAGGCAATGCCAGTCAATTTTAATTTAGCTACAGCCAGCATTTGTGCCTTTGACCATGCTGCTACTCTAGTCACATCCGCTAACGTATCGAAAAATTCGGATACTTTTGGACCTTTTGCGTCCCCTGAGAAGACCGGTAGTAACGGGATCATTCCCCCTAATCCGCCTAACGTTATTGGATTACCAGCTAACGTAGCTCGCGGAGGTTCTTCCCTATCTCTATTCATTTTTAACTTATTTCTATGTTAACTTATTATTAACCTAAAGATTATCTTAAAAATTTATCTCTCCAGACTTATCACCTCCGAATCAGATCTACACCACTTGTGAGATTCTATTACGGGTGTTTTTCTTTTAGTTCGACAACCAGTCCTGCGACACCAGATGTGAGAGTTGCTACAAGTTTTTGGATTCAAAACCCCACTCCTGCTACACCACTTGTGAGATTAGCCGGGGGTACAACTCCGCTAAGGATCGTTAGTACCACTTAATCGGCCTATTCCGTGAGAATAGTTCTCCGAGTTTCGGATCTCTAGATCCGATCTTAAAAGTTTTATATAGGAGAGCGTAAATAAAAATGATCTGAACGGCGAAGTTCAGATGCTCGTCAGGATTCCTTGACACCAGTTAATCGATCTTATTATACGCGGATTAACACGCGTTTGCGATCTGATTCGGAATAAATTTGAAGAGACATTTGGTATATTTAACAAAAGTAAATTTAATAATTCGAAAACAAAACGAATACAAATAATCGATAACAACAATTAAGCGACAAGATAGAGGCTACGACTTATTCTATGCTAATGCGCGATCGAGAGAGAGAGCTCACAAAATCATTCCAAAACATACGACCTGTTTAGTTGTCGTCGTCTTCGTTTCTCGAGGTAAAGGACACCTTGTAGATAGAGTTCATATTACTTTCATACGGGAGATCAATTCGTGCACAAAATATAAAAGTATCACTTCTACGTATAGACTCGGGACTTAGTCTATGGGACTCCGTTAAGGGCGTTGGCTATCAGGAGGAAAACTGCGTGGAGTTTTGACGCTTCGGATCTGTCGAAGAACTCCCCAAATTCGGACTAAATTCCCTTATATCTCAAAATTTTCGTCCAATCATCGGCTTGAACTTCGTTCATGTGAGCGGATGAAAGGGGAATCAAAGAGGGGGCGATAGTTCCCATCTAAGCGAGATTTTTAACGGATAAGGGAAAAACGGAGGATGTACGGACTTCCCTTAACGGAAGTAGCATCTGTTATCTATCTTTTCCCACGTCTAAAACACTAGTTTTTCACAAAAATGAAGTAATATTTTGTGTCGATATTTAAACATATTTAATAAAAATTATTAAATTAGGCCCAGGGCCCTCAGGTTTTCACACTTCATGTGTTCTTAATTATATACATATATTGATCACCTGTAATTTATTTTGTAAAATATCTACCTCTTATTATGTATTGTATATTTAAGTGTATATTTTGTAAGTGTATAATTATATACATATATTGCTCTCCTGTAACTTGTATTCATGTACCTTATCTCCAGCTATGCCTAGAGGTGCTGGTTATGTACGCATGTGTGCTTTAATAAAATAACTAAAAAAACTAGGACTATGCATTTCCATTGATGGACCTGGCATCTGTCAGTGGAATTCTCATGTGTTGCTGATTACCCCAACTCTAATGTCTCTCAATATCAAGGAGATTTGTAAATTCTGTGCTGAGGGTGCATTTCTGGCTGATTTGTTTGTATTTGATTATGACAATATCATTTAATGTGTCTAGCTTGTTCATACTTGAAACAGATAAGAATGTAATTGGGAGTGTACCAAATGTTAGAGTGTCTCATTGCAGCATTGTTGGTGTAATTAGTTATTGCTGGGGAGCTTCCTCAATAAATCTACTGTGAACTGAAGTGATTAGGTCAGGTCAACTGTTCATGCCATTCAAGCTTTCTTGCAACTCTTTCCAATTTATCTCTTATATAAGCACAACTACCAGTGGCGTGCCATCATTAGAAGTGGTGGAAGCACCGCTTCCCTTGTATTTTATAAAAAATAAATACATATTAATTTTAATTATATGAAAATAATCACACATTATTTTATTATAACCGCATTATGTATCTTATTACAAATTTCTATACTACACGTGAAAAAAAAAAAGATTGCTATTGTATATTCGAATATTAGTGGCGGAGTGGAATCTCTGTATTGTCAGATTCCAAAAAGCCAGATTTGCGCATGCGCTTTATGGAGCACCAACCTCACCCGGTTTAGCCAGTGGAAGCCTACACAGATTCCATCTGTGGTATGTATGGTAAAGTTGTGTCTAATTGAGCTCTTACTTTTGTGCGGTTTTTTTGCGGAATTAGAATGTTTAACGCTGGGATTGATATGGATTACGTCATTGAATGTCAAGGGGACGAGTAATCAGTTCAGTTTTTGGTTCTATTTCGGGTACTTTTTAAATTCTGGGATTGTGTCACATTTTTTCGGAAAATCGAGCTTTTTAAGTTCGTTCAACCGGAACGGTTGACGGGGTATTGTTCGCAATTCTCGGTTAAGTATCCCTCTTAATTTTCAGGGCTCTAGGGTTATTCCCGGCTCCAATATCGGTCCACTTCCGGTTTTTAGTGGAACGCCGTTTTTCCGTTTCCGGAACATTTCTACCCAATTTTCTTTGGGTGTCTCTTTAAGACCCTTAAGATCTAACTTATCGTAAATTTTCGTCAATTTATCTATTATAGTTTTTGAACTATGGCGATTCTCGTTTCGTATTCCAAATTCAACATCTTGCTTACTTCCGTTGCTATGGTCGAGATCATTGACCTTTTTCCATAGTAACGCCTTTTAATAGAGGAAAGTGGGCTTTTTTTGTAGTTTTTTTTTTTATTAAGTAGGGAATATTATATATTTTCGATTCGGGATAGTTTAAGGGATTCAACTGTGTCAATTATACTTATATAGGATAATTATACAGAGTGTTATTAATGCTTTTCCTTCGGTTATAATATTATATAATTAATTGAACTACATACTTAATTGATGATGATTTTTTTTTTAAGTATAATAAAATGTCCTACTATAATAACTATAGATATAAATATATTATATTAATATGTTTAATAATAAATTGTATTGTTTGAATTAAAGTTTATTTGTAGCAACTACATTATATAGCATACAAAAATGGGTTCAATAACATTAGAAACATTTCGAGCGAACGCACAAAAAATAATAGAGGAATTAAAGGAATATGCTTTGGCTAACCCTAAAGGACGATTGGAGGTGCCAAAACACAAGCAATTTATTTTGAATCAATTCGAAAAGGTATTAGATTTGGCTGAAAACACAATATCTGGTATGAAGCTAACAGAGGGGCTGCAACAAAAATTGAATCCTACCGCATGTAATAAGGATATAGAAAAAAGTATGAACCAACAAACAATCTTAGACAATCAGAAGCTGGTTCTTGAAAAATTGGATAATATAGATAACAACATGTGCAATATAGATACTGCAACTACTATTATTAACAACCAGAGAAGGGCGGCAGAAAAAGGGACCTAGAGGATAAAATTTCCAATTTAGTTACAAAAGAGAAATTGCAACAACCTGAGTGTCACGTAAATAGGATGGATGATAGTGCAATAAATGAGATACTAAATAATCAAAAACGCTTACAGGAAAAAATGGAAAAGATAGAAAACCATTGTCATCTGATGGAACATCATGATATTCATACTACGAAAACTTATAGCGAGGTTCTTAAATCCGACCGCTTGAACAATGGGAAACAAACTAAACTACTGAATAAACAAATGGAAGTATTTTTACTGTATAGCACTGATGAAAAAATAACCTCATATGATTTAAGACAAATATTATATGATAGAGTAAAACCTACACAACTGGGTATTGGAATAGATAAGATTAGGAATATAGGAGGTGGAGGTGTTGCGGTAGAAATAGGAAATAAGGAGGAAGCAGATCGATTTGAACAATTCATAGTTAAGGAAGTATCAAATATCATAATAAAGAAACCTAAGAAGAAACTTCCACATCTGGTTATTTATTCTGTACCTTCAGAAATAACAAGAGAAGAACTATCACGTTGCATATATAATCAAAATGACCGCATCGGTGAGATTTATTCCGAAGTAGAATTCATAGATAACTTTAGAGTTAAATTTAGAATGGGCAAAAGAGGAAAATATTACAATAATTGGGTAATTCAAGCTACACCAAAATTAAGACTACATTTACTAAAAATTGAAAAGATATCTGTACAATGGTCCAAGTGCCGCATTTCTGACTTTTACCCTGTTCTACAATGCTTCCGTTGTTGTCGCTTTGGGCATTCCTCGACTTCATGCAGTCAAGAAGCGTCAACATGTAGTCACTGTGCTGGTCAACATAATTTCAAAGATTGCACCAATAAAAACAAACCTGCGGTATGTTGCAATTGCAAGCACGATAATCCGTCAAATTGTGGACACAATGCCAGAGACAGTATTTGCAAAGTATATAATAAAATTAAGAACAACATTATACAAAGAACTGATTATGGAACGTCGTACTAATAAATGCATCCGTTTTCTGCAATACAACGTCGGAAGAAGAATTGCTTCAACATCTATACTTGTCTCTGTAATAAATAATTTCGATTTTATCCTTTTACAAGAACCGTACTGTATTAAATCAAAACCAGCAAACCTACCCAAAACCTGCACATCTTTAACAGGTACTTATGAATATCCCTGGGCTGTCTCTATTGCCCCACACAACGATCTCTCAATTCTACATCACAGCAACATAAGCAATAAATACACCACCTGTACGGAAATTGTTATTAATGGGCATAGGTACCTGTTTATAAACTTTTATTGTCCCAAAGATTATAACATAGAAAACTTCCTTACAAACATGCAGAGTATAATTGATACTTTTAATAACACATATTTTATAGTTGCTGGTGACACCAATTCACACTCTCCTTGCTGGGGAGGAGAAAGATTGGACGACCGTGGCAAACATTGGGAAGAATTTTTTGCTAGGAATGGGCTGCAGATTGTGAATAACCCAACATCTCCTCCAACTTTTGTATCCAGCAGAGGGGAAAGTTGGGTGGATGTAACTGCTTGTTCGCTGGAATGTTTCAGTTCGATAAAGGGTTGGAGCATTATGGATGAATCCATTGATGATCATGCAATGATCTCTTTTTACATATCCAATGATGATGAGAACAATTATAAACACCCCAGACTTAAATACAATTTAAAAAAGGCAAATTGGGAAGGTCTACAGACATATTTGCAAACATACCTACCTATATGTGATAGGGATGATCCAATAACGGCAGCTCATGCGATTGATAGCTCCATCGATATTATAAATAATGCCTGCAAAAAGTATATACCTACGTATACCAACAACAAAAAAAAAACGGTACCGTGGTGGAACGAAGAGTTGAGAGAACTCCGAGCAAAAAATACTAGGTTGAGG